ACAAAACGATCTACTACAGCCTCAGAGCTTCTCGAATACCATTGGCGCGGTTTGCGCTGAACATAGTGCAACAGGACGACGACAAAACTTGAGGAAAAGAACGTGGCATTATGATTACGAGGCATGCTTTAAAAGAGTGCTCGGGAAATTCTTACTTTGTACTTTTAACGTGCTTTTTAACCACACAGTGCACACGCCTCCAAAGTTTCGCTTCCATCAAAATTTCGCTGCGGCGGCCGGTATCAATCCCGCAACCTTCGGGTCTGCAGCCAAGCAGCATGTGCGCCGCAAACACTGCTCCTGGCTAATATTGGCGAAACGCGAAAGAGACCTTTGTCCTGCAGAGTGCAGGTGAGGTTGATGCCACCCCGCCGTTGCGGTTTTGTGGTTATGTTGTTCTAGTGCTAAGCTGAAGGTCGCGGGATCGAATCCGGCTGCAGCGGATGCATTTTTGATGTAGGCGAACATGTTTGAGGCCCATGTGCTTAAACTTAGGTGCATGCTAAATAACTTCAAGTGGTCGAAATTTTCGGAGCCCTCCACTACGGAGTCTCTCATAATCATATCTTCGTTTCGGAACGTTAAGCCCCATGTATTACAAGTCAGGCTAGCGACGCTGATGTTCTTGGGGTGTTGGAATTACACGCATACTATAAGTTTCCTGTTTTGTAGGGCTGGATGAAGCAGTGAACATGGTTATTGTCTTCATAGTACAATTTTAATACTCTGACTAAAAGTTTCAAAGAATATAACATGGGGGTGATAACACTCCCTGCAATATTGTTAGCGCCTCTTGGCGCGCGTTTTTCGCGCATATGCTGCATTTTGGGTTCACAATTATTGAGCGGTAGCTGGCGTTGTGCTCGCCTAGCGTTTATTACCACCTTCACGAGTGACGCCTTGGGAATGTAGATCAAAAGATGGGCTAGTTGGTAATTCATAATTGTTCAGCAAACTCAGAGCGAGGGGGGAACACACACAAAAGAATAAAAAAGCAGGCACACAGCACGAGCACTCACACCAGACTTGTCCATATCATAGTCCTGTTGCAATGTATTTCTATTACACAGGGCTATTTTAACTGTTTTAATCCCACACTTTAAGAACCCGTCATTTTGGCGTCGTGGATACCTGTCTCAGCCTGTTGGGCATTAGTGTCATCGTGGCATATTCGTCAAGGAACTTGTCCTGCCGATGTACAAATGTCTTTTTTTTGGATGATGAACCCATCTTTTTGTCACACCAAAAGAATATGCCGGATTTCCTACACTCTGAATTTTATAGACTAGTCCGCTGTGAGCGTTCGTACTGTGTGCCTCCTCTTCCCTTCTTGTGTGTGTTCCTCCGCACTCCCAGTTCGCTGAACAGTTATGAATTACCAACTAGCCCACCTTTCAATCCTGTTGCCTGGCGGCAAGCCTGGGTGGCGGCACTTGAGAGAGGAGCGGTCTTCTTTGACGCTGGTGGTTGGCGCGAATGGCTGTCTCTTGTGGCGGGTCCGCTGTGTACAGCACCATGTGTCGCGTGCTGTGGGCACTTGTGGTTATATCAAGCACGTGAATTGTAGGTCAAGCCCCAAGCGGGTGAGTGCGGAAGTCTTGTAGGTGGTCCGAGTTTCCCTAAATATCACCTTCTATTCTCCTTGGCTCAGTGAGTTGGAAGTCATTGCTGTTTTGTCTTGCGGTTCGATGCCAAGGCATTGTGACACCACCTGGGACGGTGGGCGCCGATAGCTCGGTAACTGCTGTGTGCGAGAGCGAGTAGGGCCACGATACAGACTGGATGTCTCCTTATGGCTGCCTTTTTGCGCCTAGGCTTGGTGCTGGATGGATGCGCGTAATAAACTGCTTACTCAATATGTTCATTTTCAGTGCAATACAAACGTGGCCTATGTCGTACATTTGTAGAAGTCCTGGTGCCAGTCAAGCTCTTTAGAGAATTTTTCACCACTGCCCTTAGCATTTTGAATGTTGAAATTAATAAAGTTTTAAAGTTCGAAGTTGTTGTCAAGCGACTGACTGGGCCTAAGGCTCTGCGCATCTGACTGTCCCACGTGACCAACTAGGTGGATCATGGCGTTAAGATTCTGCACTCTGCTTCCCTAACTTATTTTTTTTATCTCGCGATGCACGAGTCGAGAAAAGTGTTGTTTTTTTTAGCTGGTGTCTCGGTAGCCACCGGTGTATTTGCAAGCAGCACCCACCAACGTACCGCGTGGGCGAGGAGCCCAAAACTCTGTTCCCTTCTTCCTACTGCCTTGTTTTTTCGAGTGCTGTGAGTGTACGCAGCGGGAGTGACCTAACCCGCGGTGTTCTGTCCTCTGCACATCGTCTGCGCCACTGGTCAATTATTGCGATCGAGACATCGGTCGATGGACATACCTGGGATTTGCACAACTGCCTGCGGTCCAGCACCCTCATGAGTGTTGGTCGAAACTAGAAGACGTGCTGGCGCGACTGACAATTCCTTGCGCTGACGGCCACGTTGCTGTCGCGGGTTCATTACTGAGGTGAAATCGTCGAGCCGGGCAGTGAAGCAGTGTCGACCAGCGGCGGTGTCATGGTGCATGGACATTCTTTAGTACATGTGTTGTCATCTATCACAAGAACTTGTATAGCTCATTTCTTTTATGCCCTTTTTTGCTGGTGGAGGGGGGAGGGGTGTGGATATGGATTGAAATAACATTGCGGGAATTTGAAGGTGCCAAACCCTCCTGTAAAGTCGTTTGCGCCAAGTCATGCACATGTTTCATGCAAACGCTGCATTTGAGGTTCACAACTAATAAGCGGTTGGTGGCCTTAGGCTCGCGAATGATCATCATGGGTAGCACGGTAGTGCCACCAGTCACACCTGGCCACAAGCCTGCGTGGCGGCACATTAGAGAGAAGTGGTCAGGCCTCGGAAAGTCTCAAGTTCCAGTCATCGCTGAAAGAGGGCGAAAAAATTGACTAAATAAAAAAAACAACATAGTAGCTCCATTCAAATCTGTCCTCGGGGATGCCGAAAAATTCGCTAGGGGCATCATAGTAAGCTTGAAATTCAAAGCGAAGAGAGACACCATTTTTGCAAAAACGGTTATTTTCCGAATATTTCAAGGGTAACATTCAAATTTCGCACTGTGGGAAGTACTTCTGAGCAATATATTTGTTTAGCGATTGTAGCGTCATGCGAGTTCTACTTTGAATGCGCTGCTGCGGTTTAACGGGGGCAGCTGGCGAGCATATGCGCAGTTAGTTTCAAGCTAATGGTTGGCGTGGTGTTCGGCGTTCCGTTTTCTTTCTAGCACGTTTTTATTCGCTTCTGTAAGTGACTTCGTTTGCTGTACTGCTGTATGGTGCCGCGGGAACTGTCATATCGGCGAAGGCATCGATTTCAGCTAATTCCATGGCGATGACAGGTAGAATCTTTTTGCGAATGTGCGCATATTTGTTATTTTTTGCCAGTTATTTTACTCTCAATTGTGCTACACTCTAAAAAAGAGCGAGTAAAAAGGGTGTATTTTTGTCCCACAACAATAATCGTCATCTATATTGCGTTCCATCCTTGCGCTATCGTCCCGTGCCCGGTACATTCCGGTCACGATCGACATGTCCATTATCAGGGTTACATTGCATTCTCGATAGGAAAGTAGCCAGTGTCAAGTTTTCAAGAAAGGAAGCGCACGCAAGCCTGATGACGATTATTGTTGTGGGACAAAAAGACACTCTTTTTACTCAATATTTTTTTAGTGTATATGTTCACTTGCACAGATTCTACACGTGTTCAAATGATTACACTTCTCTAAGCTTTCGCTCCACCATAACTTTCTTGTGAAAAACCAAATGTCCTCGCGTCCTCAGCTTGACCGCACTATGTCGTAGTGCAATAAAATGTGTGGGTGTTAAGCCGTGCATGGCGAAAGTAGGAGCTGTGATTCGAAGCTGTTACTAAACCATCCCAAGCTGATTTTTAGACTGTTTTGTAATGATAGTTTCTGCAAACGAGACATGCGTTTCTTTTCATTTTGCCTCAAAAATCGAAGACGTGCCATTTGCGAACACGCGTTAATGCTCCGGCCATGTTAGATTTTCAGATTTTGCATTAAAACATTGTTGCTAGTATTCTGTCAATAAATATTGTTCCTCGTACTCACTCTTGAATTGTTTTTACTGGTGACAGCTGCCAATGAATGCCTTTTGGTTCCATGTAACATTTGTACGAACAGCTGCTGTGTTCCGAAGGGCGCTTAGGTGTGCTGCTGAGCGTATCGATGTGCTTAAATAAAGCGGTTGAAAGATAAGACTCACCCGTAGCCCTTCACGAGTCTCGGTCTTTTTCGTCAACTTCTGTTTAAAAAGGATAGCCATAGAATAAAGAATTAGCCGAGACAACCGCGTAGGCACATACGAACCCGCTAAGGAATAAAAAAGGCAGCCATTTCCCTCTGCCTAAAGAAAAAAAGAACAAACAAATTAGGTTTTCCATTTCCTGTTCATTAGGCGCTATCTCTTGGTTGCCATCGGCAGTTCTATGCGCCACCGCTGCTAATCTTGCGTACCATTGTCAAGGCTACAGTTTCCCTTCATTAAATTGGTTCTTTATTCTATGAAGTGGTCATCAGGCGTGGGGTGTTTGGCGCCAACGGCTCTCACATGCGTAGGGTCCACGGTGGACAGCACCTCGGGTCGTTTGTCGTGGGCCCTCGTGGTAAGTCGAGCGTTGGTAGCACTGCCATCGCGCTAGCTTCTGTTTGTCCTTTTGTTTGATTGAGTGTATTGTAATATGGTGTAACTATGTTTTATCACGCTGACCAACTAGTGATGTATCTTGATTCAGCTGACAATATAGTTCTTAAAGGTAATTGAATAAATGTGTGTTTGAGTCCAACCACGTCTGCTGTGTCCGTTCGTTCCAAGAACATGGCGCGTCATGTTTAGAGCCCACAATGCAAAGTTGCGTCACTTAAGTACATCCCAGAAGGCAATGGGATCAAAACATTTCTGAGAAACTCAAGGTTCGTCATGAATTTTTATATATTTAGTCAAAGACGGTGCAGTTTTCCTTACTGTACAATATCTGTAGAGCAGGGCCACAAAAGTAATCAAAGAGGAAGTCACAGCATGTATAAGGCTGATTAGACCTATTGAAGTAGCTGCCTCTCACCCACAACTCACAGGCATGGAATGTATCTGCAAAACACAATTAAAATATCAGTGCTTGTACAGCGTAGTGAGGGTTAGTAATAAGGAAATATTATAAAAAATAGCACATGCACACATACTTCGTTAGGCAAACTCGTACTTTTTTTTTTCCGCGAGAAAAGCAACCTTCATGTCAGAGGGCGGGATGGGACAGGAGTTATTATTCAGTTTCTCTCGCTTCAACTGAAAGAAACTGCGGGACTCACTTTAAATAAAATTAACTCATTCATTGAAGTCCCAGGAATGAAAATTCGCAGATCCCACGTACTGTGAGAATCACTGATATGCGAAGCACGAAAGAGGAAGGTTGATACGTCACATTAAAATGAGCACAAGGTTACATAAACTATGCCGTACATGACGTCCATGCTATGATTATCCTTTTTGGATGTGTTATTTACCTTCGTCGTCTATTCACGTCAGGCGATACCATATTTACGTTAGCTCCGCATATCTCATGACGTGATATGCGGAGCGAGCGAAACGGCCGTAAGCACACTATTAAAACATGTAGTCATGTTTTACATCACTGTGATTCGAGTGGCGAGCCTTACGTGAATGTTTGAAAAGTGCGCGAAAATAAAAGATGACCGAGTGTACGTATGGGTCGCATGAACAATGGCAACCACGTTGAGGAACGGTGCACGTGAGAGTGTGGAGTGCAAGAACTAAAACTATAAAGCAAACAAGAGCCGAGAGGTGGTCACTACGCCATTTTAAAAAAGCCAACCGGCACGAGACAAGTATGCCCCAGGGCAAGTCAAGCCTGGAGAGCAAGAGAGCTGGCAGTTTGAGGTGAACGAGGCAAGAAGAAGGCTGTAGCTGGGAGCTGAAGACGGGCAGTCGCGTGGTGGACCCGAGCCTTCTGGACTTAACGTGGCTTGGGCCTCCGCAAAGAGCGTTCTACGGATTGCGAGCTACCACGCCTTTGAGAGCACTGCCTGCAGATTCCGGTGTTGATGCTGCAACGGCAGTTGGGTCACAGGCCTAAGCCTTGCATCCTGCCGCCTCATCAGTCGAATCTGGGCCACCACAGGCACTGTTTTTTAGGTGAATCATGTATTACCAACTCGCCCAAGCAACCACGTTAGCCACCACAGGCGTCGCTGAGTGAGCCCCGTGCCATGGTCACCGCCAGCGAGCATCGGTACACGCCACCATTCAGACAGCAACGTTTTGGTTAGATAGAACTTACTCTCTTCCGCCGAATCACCGCGTCAGAACTGCATCATGTCTCTGTGACTTTCATCCAACATTTTCGGGACTTTAGACGTTTGTCTTTCTTCTAAAGCGAACTTCTAATGAAATACTCATTTTTAGTAGTTCTTGCTGAATTTTTGTTTTAGTTCCGGTGTAATTGTTTGGGTGTCGTTTGTTAAACGAACGGCATTATTCTTAATATTTAGGACTCTTCGAGGCTCGGCCAGGAGAAAAAAATCTGCGAGAAGAACCTGCGTCACAATCGGGCGCCCGCAGCGACCGCACTAAGCCGTTGATTCCACATCTTCATTAATTGACACGGTCGAAATTATGTCGAATACGCGAGAGCTACTGGCCTTGGCGGATCGCATGACGATTGATGAGCAGACTTAAAGGAATGGAACGATGAGAAAGAGGCACGAGCCCGAGAGGAACGGGCTGCGGAACGCGAAGCTCGAAAGGAACGGTCAGAACGGGAGACGCAGGACAAGAAAGAGGAGCTTGAGCTTGAGACGTGCGAGAAAGAAAAACAGCTCAAACTGGAGACTCGCACACGGAAGGAGAAGCGAAACCTGCAACTGCTTCTTGTGGCGTTATCCACGGGTGGATTCAGAGTGACGCACGAATTCTGCGCTGGAGAACTGCACTCTAGCGGAGGTTAACAGAAGAGAATCTACCAATGAAACACACGTGCTCCTATGGAGCACGTCCGGGACAGGGTCAGAGTAGAACGCAATGCGCGCGTCTCCATTCATGCTTTTGTGGGCAAGCTAGGCACCACGACGCTATGCTAGCAAAACGTGGGCTCCGTCACGAGGCGCAGCTGACGCGACTGGAGTTCGTTAGCGCGGTTTAAGTTCACACCGTTTCAAGGCACAGGGCGCTTGAGACTTCCGGTCGAATTTGCCAATTTTCGCGGACTTGAAAAAGTTGCTTCATAGAGTGGATATTGCAACGTAGGTGCTCCAGGTCTGCCAGTAGAACATATAGAAAGCACTCTTTATCCGCCAATGGAATAGATTTGCTTCGCTCGGAGCAGAAGAAAGTATTACTGGAAATGCTCCAAATCAGCCAATAGATGACACTATAAGACTTGCCAAAGCTTAGAGTGACCGTGAGGCAAGAACTGTTGACTCGGCACCAGACTCAGCACAACAAAAGATTGTTTCATGCAGCGTGAATCCTCATAATTTGATACTGGAATTCAATGATGGCCGGGAAAACTTGGACGCCTATTTAAAGAGGTTCGAGAGAATCACCGTCGGTGAAGAATGGCCTAAGGACCAATGGGCCACGGCTTTAAGTTTGCGCTTTAGCGGAGTGGCCTTAAAGGTGTTTGAAAGACTTTACCCGGATGATTATTTCGATTATAAGGCAAAGTTGGTGTTACTCCAGCGTTCCCGTTTTACGGCAGAAGGCTGTCGGGAAAAATGCTGACAAAAAATTCACAGGGCGCTAAAACGGTCAAACAGCACGCAACTAGACTACTGAGTTTTTCAATCGTTGGGTGGAAATGTAGAAGACTGAAGATGAATATTTGGCTCTTTGTAGCGTGATAGTTACGGAAAAGTTTTTTAGCAACTGTCACCACCGCTTGGCATTTTTTTGCGGGAAGAGAACCACATCAAGCTAGATAACATGACCAAGGCCGCAGACAACTTTTAGAAGCTCAGAGGCAACCCAGCGTACCAGTTTTCCGAGAGAAATTGAAGGGTAAAAGCAATACAAAATAAAGCGGTATTTACTCTGAGAGAGGAGCAGGGCGCTGCTTTGTATGTGACAAAATGGGTCACAGGGCATCGGAATGACGATCAAGGCCAAAACAACCTTTCGGCAGATATTGTCACGAGACAGGGCGTGATTCCAAAACTTTCGAGAAGAATGGCCCAGCTTAGATGAAGGTGGAAATTAATTCACCCTATTGTTCTCGTACTTCTATTGTCAAATGCACGACGAACCCACCCTACACAATATCGTCGGAAATGCACCATGTTTACGGAAGTCATCGACCCCAATAACAAGTTGGAGGAAACGATTCTGGTAAAGGCCTACCCCAACTATATCGCAAGTAGGTTAGGAGCAGAGAGAGAACATGGTTTACTGAAGTCTGCGTAGGAGCAAAGAGAAAAGATGGGTTACTGAAGTCTTCGGTGGTTGGTACAAAGAGCCGAGATCAATGGCCAATCTCATCCAAGATTAATTTACACACCTTGAAGTCGACCCGTAAGGATGTTAGTGCCACCCAAAAAAGGACAAGATCCTAGATTCTTGCAGAAACGAAGTATGCCAAGGGCTACAGGGAAGATGAGAGTGACAATCGTTCGAGAAAGAAAACGTACTGTTGTACCGCTATTGTCGCCTACCGTCTGGTAAAGTGATCGCATAAGTAGTAGTGCCCCGAATATTGCGTAGCCAAGTGCTTACTTTGGCGCACGAAAGCATGATGTTGGGGCATCAAGGAATGAATAAAACGATTGATCATTTTACTGGTGAGGAGTTCAAGAGGCAGTGAGAAGATACGGGTGCTCTTGTGACGCATACCAACGAACCTACCCCAAGAGCAAAGTTGGCAAGGCACCGCTAGGTCGAATGTCTTTAATAGACACTCCATTCGAAAGAGTGGCAGTGGATATTATCAGTCAATGGAAGCCAATATATCATATAGGTAACCGATACATACTAACACTAGTGGTCTTCGCCACTCAATACACAGATGCAATAGTCCTGCCATCCATCGATTCGGCCACAGTAGCCAAGAAACTGGTAGAGATGTTTTCTCGAAGCGGGTTCCCGCGCGAAGTACAGTGTGATCGGCCATCATGCTTCACATCGGAGTTAATAAGAGAGGTAAATGACTTGTTAGAGATCCAGCATCTCAGCGCCACATCCTATCATACCATGCATAATGTTTTAGTAGAGAGACTTAATGGCACACTAAAGTAAATGTTACGTAAACTGTGCCAAGAAAACCCAAGTTATGGGACTGGCTATTAGCGCCCCTCCTGTTTGCATATCGAGAATTCCTGCTGGCGAGCTTGGGATTTTCGGCTTTCGAGCTGATCGACGGTGCAAATGTTCGAGGACTTCTCATTCTGCTTAGGGAGTTATGGCCCGGATCAAATCAAAACGATGAGGTTGAGACAACATATGGATATGTTCTGGATAGAGATTGCCTGGGGAAAGCATTACAGTTGAATCAGGAGAACATGTCACTAGCTAAAAAAAAACGAAAAGAAATACTATCAGATGCGTCGGCTAAAAGTTGGAGACCGCGCCGTCATACTGCTTCCCACGACAGAAAACATGCTTCTATATCATTGGAAGGGACCTTTTATGATCACAGAAAAAAAGGGCAACTTTAACTACTGGCTCGATATGGAACATATGACCAAGCTGTTCCATATAAATATGTTAAAATGCTACGAAGAGCGTCTTCCACAAATATTGCCCCCCTCAGCATCTTTGATTGCAGTGAAGAGGAGGGGATAGACCTGCCTGTGCCCACCTTTAAAGATACTGAATAATTTGGTACTGAAGCAATCAAGCTTGGTACTAGCCATGGATTGTGTAAAAAAAAAGAAACTTATGAGCTTTCAGCCACTCAAAAAGACATTATTTTTGAAGTCTCCGGCAAGACAAACTTGTTATAGCGCCGTTTTCAGCTGACAACATCAGACTCTATCAAGATTCCACAATATCCGTTACTTTTCGCTATAAAAGAGATATTGCGAAAGAAGTCCGAGAAATGAGGCGACTCGAAATGGTTGAAAGGTCCGACTCACCTTGCA